CTGGTGAATTGGTATACATAGATACTATGGCTGTCCTTAACGTTCTTAATACCCTATTAACGATTCTCTCTACAAGTACATCCATTGGAAGCTTGCCTCTTGCGGTGATACTTACGTCGGATGAAACTGCATATACTTTTTTAGAAGCTTTAAATGTTTTAAAATCTGTAATGCCATTAACAGCATTTAATGAACGTAGACCCGGGGTTGGACCTGAAGTTATAATGATGGACGATTGCAAAGCAGAGAAAAAAGCCTTACATAATACCTGGAATAAGGCTACTTTGCTACTATGTGTCTTTCATTTTCTTCAAGCGATGTGGAGATGGTTGTGGGATGGAAAGAATAGTATCAATATGGATGACCATGTTATTATAATTGGATGTTTGAAGAAGATTGTATTTGCAAAGACTGAATCTAAACTTAAAGAAGAGTATAGAGCATTAATAATTAATCAAGTATACTTGAAATATCCGTATTTCCAAAAACACTTTGAAGCCATGTGGAACCGACGCAAAGAATGGGCTATTGCATTTCGTTAAGGTCTACCAATCCGTAATTGTATACTGAGTGTCGCCGGGCATTTTGTATCTCGTTTGCGTTTACTAATTAAATCGTTTGTCACTTCTTCTATAGAGTTAATATTTGTATTATTAATTTTATTTTTTTGTCCCTGTTTTAGCTTTACTAGGTGACTATGGACATAGTGAAATCATTTAGATAAAAGATACTTGACACCTTTAATGATTCGATCTTGTGTTTCTCTCATAGTGACCTTATGTAAATTTGAAAATTCATCAAGCCATACTTTGGCATCATTGATTGTACAAATATTAATGCGAAACTTTGCTTCAAACAGATCAGAAAATGCACCCAAAAAATTTAATGGTGGTATTGTTTTGAACGAAACAATAATATAATTATAATTTTGCGGCAAAACACGTTCCAAGATAATAAGGTTATCATCTACAATATGCTGTGGGTTGATATTTTGTGGTAAAAAAATATGTGGTATAATGGTACTACTTATATTTAAGTTCGATTCCATTTTTATAATAGAAAGCGTAAACTTGTGAAATAATTTCAAAGCACAATGACAAAAAAATAAAAAATTAACATTAATAGTTTTATTGTTTTCATCAGTAGTAATCTAAAAATGTATGAAAAATGTAGTCATCATTGCGTAAAAATGTAACCATCAATTGGAATTTTCATACTCCGACATCAGGTAATTGGGTAATAATAGTAAATCATTATTACCAACTGATACACTTAGAGTAGTAATTAATTCTAATTATATCATATGTGTCGAATGCGTGTTGAATATTGGTGAACTTGTCTAATTATTTATTGTTTTATAAATAAATAAGAGGATTTAATTAGAGATGCCTTCTGCAAGGTGGCAACTTTGCATCTCTTTAGAATTCTTTTTGATGCAAAATAATATAAGATTGCAGTCATAAGATCGAAAGTATATGTAATTATCATTATTAATAATACAGATCATGTACGTATACATAGTATAATTTAAAATTTAGTTTATAAAAATAATAACTATTAATATTTTTAAACTGATAATTAATCTGGATATATATAATTCATAGTATATTATAATATTACAGTAAAAGACTTATATATTAAATATAATTTGCAGCTTATTGTCAAATTTATATTTAAAAAATTGCAAGTGTTGCAACCCTAGTTGCGCAATAAAAAGGATTTGCAGCAGGCAATACTGCAGTTATACAAATTGAAAATCAAGGAAATTCACTAATTGATCTTTTGTATAATTAATCGATTCGCTAGCAACTTTTTACCATATAAACCTGGTTTGCAAACAACCTGATTTACCAAAAACCTATTACTAACTTCTGGAAATGCGATAGAAGCTTAAAGCATCAAGGCTAACCATTACGTAACTATGTTATAACTTACGGTCACATTTGATTTTAAATTACATTCGTATTTGCTTTATTGTTGCGACATATCAATATAGTCGAACATTACCGGTATAACTTTTTGCACTGTCTTTTATGCGTCTTTTATATGCCGTAACTGCATATGTATAAATTTTTTATCGCTTGTATGGCTACATGTTATAGTACAGATATGTAATATATAATTTATTATTTCTAACGGTGTATAGTTATTACTGGTAGCAGCGTATTCATAAATTAAAACCGGTATAAAACCGGTATAAAACCGGTACATATATGTGATCGTCGCCACGTGACTTTAAACCGAGCACAGATTCTACATATGCGTTGTATTAGTATCGGGGGATCTAGTTGTCATGTAAATATAAAAGCCCTTCGAATTCACTTTGCTTCCATGATGAGAGTTGGTTCGTTCCCTCATCAGAGTTTGTTTGTTCCCTCAGTTATAATAGTGGTTCGTTCCCTCCCTTAGAACTCTTAATTTTCTTATTCTATTTTATTCTTTTACTTTTATATTACTATTCCGTGAATACATCTTCACGATGCTTTATTATATTGATTATTAGATTAATGCTTGTTCTAATCTTGCACATATTGTTATCCATTGACGTCTATAATAAATTACCTATAACATATTCAAGTATCATTCCCGATTATATACATGTGTACACACCCAATACAGACATTGATGACCTTATAATTCTTACTGTATCCCTTACATAATCTCTTTCGTTCACTATCGCTGACCTAAACCCGGCACTCACTTACTGACAATCTCCCGATCTGATAGTAACACTGTGATTGGGCT